ATCAATTCAGTGACATTATATTCATATGACATCGTTGTTCAGCTCCACTGCAAAATAATGCAGTACTGATTTCAATTATGCTAGACAATTCTAAGGCACTGCTATTTGCATACCAGCTGACAGGAATGGGTTCTCCAACACTCATTATATACACAGTACCAATCCAATGTTTAGGTGATTTTCCTATGACAAGTCAAAATGTCTGCACTGAAAATGTTTCAATGTTATTGTCCTGGGATTCTGATGAGATCAACAATCATTGTCATGTCTGTTCCTCTTCAAAAACAAACCTTAGCAGACTGTTTAGAGAGGAGGAAAGTGTGTGGTGTTTTTGTCACAGAAGTAGCACAGTAAAATAGTATGCATCAAGCAGTTACTGCTGCTATTCAAGAGCCAACAAAGGTAGTCGGCAGGTGTCCAAATCTGAAACATGTATGAAACCGAGTCAATTGTTGTTTTATAAAAACACAAACTCATTGCAATTTGTTTAAACAACAAAGACATTGTTTGCAAGTCCTACAGATGCAAACTCTAGTAGAGCTTCAAGTTTCCTGTGACCTTGTCAACGAGATCAGCTGGGCCTGGGCCCACTCCCAGTACAGTGCGGGACCCGGGGGCGATCTGAGTCCTTCCTGCGTCCTGAATCAGGCTGACAGGGAGCCCCACTTCTTTGGCGTGACCCAGCAGATCAATCAGGGTGTCCTCATCGGGCACCTTCACCACCACCTTGGGCTGCCCGCAGTACTCCCACTGTTTGAGAAGCTCAGGGTTCCTGCGCTGCACCTGTTTGTAGGCAGATACAGCAGCATGGGAGCACTGGGCGGCCACCTTCCCTTTGCCCATCTTCAGGTCGTTTCGGACCACTAACACCATCTTAAACTCGCCTCCTTCTCCCATCACGTTCGCTTCACCAGTGCCGTTCCCCATCGCTGCCATCAAGGTTTTGGATGTTGGACCTAAGCGAGCTCGAAGGTGCCAGCCGAGGAGGAGCCCGCAGCCCAGCCCTGCTACTACACCCAGGCCCAATGGACCATAAAGCATGTCCATGATGATGACCCTGCAAAAACAACAGAACAAAATAAAGCAAGTTCAGATCACATCTAAACCCGTTACATACACCGAGGGGAGATTTTGTTTGAGTCTAGACATTAGAAGCAGCAGTTGACTCAACCATACCACCACCAGGGCCATTCAGTATCTGATCATATTACTTTATTCCCCTGTTGTCATGGAAAAGGAGAAATTATAACAGTCCATGTTGGTTAACCAATTGAGATTGGTTAAATGTTCCTAAGCGCACTACTTGTGTAGCTTTAAGTTATTTACCCAGGTATAGGTTTGTAGGAATTCCTTTGTTTTTTCTAACGTTAACGTAATAAGCGTTTAACGTTAGACAGCTGGCAACTATAGGAGCAAACGAGCTGACGCTACTATAGCTAAATAGTGTATATAGACTTTACAGTGGCATCGCAATAAATAGTGTTTTTTTTTAACAAACAGCAAGATAAATAACTGACTAAAGAGTTAGTTCCGTTTTTAAACACAACACTGTGTATATACATTTAACCAATCAGTACTAAAACTTCGCGGGCTAAAAAGCTAACGCTAGCTAACTAACTTTATAACAGGAGTAAGCCTTGCTACCGTTAGCTTCCTGGTTAGAAACAAGACCTATTATTACTTTACAATAACTAACACAACACCAGGACCAAACTATTACTTTCTTAGCAACTAGACTCATGTTCAAACATTTCCTGCCAATGCATTGCTAAAACTGATGTATGTTTCATACCTGCTGGTTAGTTCGACGTGCTAGCAGGAGCAGTATGAATGAGGCGTGTGGTCTCTTGGTGATGACGTCACGGCACCAACACTTTTCAAAATAAAAGATGAGTGTGAGTCCTTTATATAATTGTCTATATATTATATATTGATGGTGGTATTGATGCTTTGAGCAACAGACACATTAGGAAATGTTTACTACAGACTGAGTGTGTTAGATTCTGTTCAAGAGAAATACATCTGAAAGAAACACTTTGTTGTTTAATTTAGTGTATTTTTGTACCATATCGAATATTATGGTGTATTATTTTGTATTCTAATCCGACACTTGCGTACCACGTTTAGAGCAGATTAGGTGCCTTGCTTTAGGACCTCTCCCCCTATCAAGACCAGTTCGGCCAGTTCAAGACTAGCCTATTCTTAGGCCAACACTGTCCTCTATTGAGCAAAACTAGGAACTACTGGCACCTGAGACTAAAACTCAACTGTATTTCCTACATTGCCCACATTTACATGCAGTTTATTCTGCCCCCCCCCAACAATATTCCATCAAGCTCAATGTCGTTTTAGATTATCTTTCTACTAGTTTAAATCATGCCGTTGATACCTTTCTACATACACTTAAAACAGCCAGCATGCAGAGAGGCTCCATGTAATGTATTCGAGCATACATTTTTTAACTGGAAATGACACAGAACAACACTGACCCAATGATCCAGCAAGATGCTGTAAACCTGGACAACATTATAAGAAAACAAGATGGGATATACTTTATTGACAATTTGGTAAATGTTTTCGTCACAGAAGCATGTCGATAAGACATTACACTATGAATAAGAAGAAAGATCAAATAAAATGTAAAACAGTTCAGATATACATATCAACATGAGAAGAGAAACAAAACAGTGAATGTATCAAAAATGAAGGATATATAACTGTCAGATGGCTGAGAAGTGATAGACCAAATAGATTTTCTTGGTCACATTAATGTGAAGTGATGACCCCGGGAAACATTGGAACATAATGAGTGAATAGATGGATATTTCAAAAGGGTTTTCAGAGTTTAGAAATATTTACTTATTTAAATATATTGTTAGATGGTATTCTTTGACCTGTTTTCTACCAAAGGAGGCTGTAGGGCTACACTGTTATTGGGGCAGAACCATAACACCATTTTTTTGGTGACAAAAGGAACAGCACTTTGTCTCTTGGAACTGCAGTGGAGTTGTCCTTCTTTCCTGCTTTGGTGTCCATTACTATTTTATGCATTGGTCTCTAGTTTGACAACTGCTATCTTTTAATCCTCTTAAAATAACTAAATTACATATTAGCAGGGGAACTGACCTGATTTCAGTTCTAAGACTTCTGGATCCAAAACATGGATGATATACCCAGAAGTCTAGAGTACAGTCATTTAAGTTCTATGTCGTAAAGAGACAGAATCGCTTCTCCAATCGCATCTCAATTAAGTCCCAAGATAAAGTAACTTTAAAAAACACTTCTCACTAGAAAACACTATAAAAATACCTGTTGTACTCTGATAAACAAGATGATGCTCATATTTAAACATGGCGACTTACGGTTCCATCTCTAGTTATGACCTGAAAAATGTGATGTCCTGAGGCGTTTTATGTGTTTCCCTTTGGGAATGAGCTGAGCACTCTTTGCCCAGATGCCATTCATTCACAGTGTTTGTGAAACCTACTGAGGACAGACAAGTATTAGAAGTGCGCTCCAGGAAAGTGATCCACTTATTTATAGACACTTTAATTAGACTGGCTCTCTGGAGGTAGTACCATGCCGGCAAATGATGAAATCTCACCCTCTTTCTTTCTGTGTCTCTCTTCTGTCAGCCTGCTGTCCCCTCCCCCGACAACTCTGTATCAGTGCTGCATCCCTCACTGGCCCCCTCCATCACCACACCCTGCACTCAAGTTATGATGCAGTTCATGTGCAGCATACTTTAGCGTTTGCAGTGCAGCTCCATCTCAGATTTTATTTTATCTTATCTTGGATCAGCTTAACGGTGAGTTTACCTTCTGCATGATGCACTGCTCAAATACATCAGGCTGTTACATTACAGCCCTGCTTTGTTGTTACACTTTGTGAATGGTTAATCTCTCTCCAGTACACTGTTGTTGTCTCTTTTTAACTGTGAGAATGAATTACTGCTTATCAAATGTCTCATCCTGAAGTGTAAGTGCTCTCTCTTCAGTTTCTCATTGTCCCTCGCTGAAGAGTTACTCAACAGGTCTGGTTTGTTTTGGTTGAAGCGATTGCGCAATCAAGTGTTGGAGCAGTGATGTGCTTCACAAAGGCAGTAGTGTTGTTATGAAACTGTTTTGTTCTCATATGTGCATGGGCAGGGTGTATAAAAGAGCTTGTGGTTCTAGTGCGAGTGTCTTTGAGGTTTAGGGTCTGTGATAAAAACGCTTTTGTTTGTGGTTCCCTGAGATGGTCAGGAGTAGCTAACCGTCAAATATATTTATTTTCTTTCCACTGTGTGACACTTCACTTGCACCAGACTTTGAAGTACCCACAGTCTCATTCACCGTGTGTGTGTGTGTGTGTCCGTCCTTTCGGATAAAACACAACCACATGTTGGACCTTAAGAGTCACAACAAGATAAATAAAATGGAAGAAAGTCATTGCAGGAATCATTTGAATTTGACCAAAACCTCAGAATATTTCCAAATTCTGAACAGGCATCATGGCCTGCTGTGATATCAAAACTGTGCAGCTTGTCGTCTGACAGCTCAGAGAGTGTGGATGCATGGAAACAGAAGCTAGACGCCCAGCAGACCTAGGGCACGGGACAGAGAGAGACTGACAATTCCTCCAGATGGTGGACAGCATACCTCCATGTCAGAGTCCCCATCTCACTGCTCACTGACAAATTCCTCAGGCTCTGAAGTGAGACACAGAGTGTGTGTGTGGATTTCCTTTGAGGATATGTAATGAAGAAACTAAAAGCAAAATCTTGTCCTTCTCTTTCACCCATTATTTAAACTCATTACCATTGGTTCCCATGTACGCCATTTGATCACCAGGGGGGGTGAATTAATAATCATTTGTACACAGAAAAACTAACAAGACTTTCCTCAGTACTCATTAGGTCATGCACCTCCTAGCAGGTTACTTTTATTCTGCAGGTTGCAGGAGCAGGAAAGTACTGACTGCTCGGCGTGTACACAGTGTGTACGCAGACAGAGTGTGGGTGTGCTGTGGTGTGTGAGTCTATATTTGTTTTGGGCCCGCAGCCGTATCTAATTTATGGAGTGTGTAATTCTGTGCTGAAGGCCCGTTTCTTCTCTCAGCAGGACTCCTTCCAGGTGAATGAGATGGCAGAGTGTGGGATCCAAGGTGAACAACCTCAGAGGCGTCTTGCTGTGAAGGAAAACGGAGAGCTGACAGGTAAAAATGAAACACATCCAATGGGTCATAACCACGCTTAAAGAAACTTGTATTATTAGTGCATTAAAATGCCTTGTATTTAAAAGTTGTTTTGTTATTCTCATGATTTCAAAAATGTAATTCCTTGTATATTTTTTGTTTGTGTTCTTGTCATACACACGCTGTGCGGCTAGACTCGCAGCTGTCTGTGGATGAGAGGAAACAGAGGGACAGGGAGGAGAGGGAATCTCTGGTGTTATGGAGGAATCCTCTGCTCACACTACACTACTTCACTCTGGAACTGCTTATCACCATTGAAGAGTGGCTGAAGAGGTGAGAGGATGGGTGTTATAGTGGTGGTAGCACTCAGATCTCTTACTTAGTAAAAGTTGTAATACCACATGTGGAAAGTTCATGCATTGAAAAAGTCCTGTATTCAAAATTGTACTTAACTAATAAAAAAAATAGTAGCATCAAAATGTACAATATAAGTAGAAAAATACTCATTCTGCAGAATGGCCCATTCCAGAAGAATTGATGCATAAATGTATTTGTATCCCTTTAAAGTTGCGGCTTGTTCAGTTATGTTTGTTTGTTATTTACTAAGGGAGTTACTAAAAAAAAGTAGAAGGAAACGGAAGAACCTCAAAATAGTGCTTCAGTAGAGAACCTGAGTAAATGTACTTACTATGTTTAATAAAAGTGTGTGAGTCAAAAATCAATAAAGAGAGAAACTGAAAAAAGGAAAATACCGGTTTAACTTGTAAAGCATATTTTAAACAATTTAAATACATTTAAATATGTATTATTCATGTGTTAATGTAACTATAGGGACGACAGCAGATAAGCAGTATTTTTGCTGTCAGTTTGATCTAACGAGGTGCTAGTGCTGCGTGTTTATTGCAGGCAGAAAGAGGATACGCTGGTTGTAAAAAATAAAAGCAAACTGCTTCCCTCGCACACAAAAGTACAAATCTATAACCAGACAGGAGGTGACCTTGATTGTCTCAGCGCTCTCAACCTAAAAAGCCTTCTCCCTCATAGTTTAGTCTTCAGTCAGATTTGTCGCAGAACCTATATAATACAGCACAAAGGTCTGTATTATATATAATTATTTCCCCTCATAACTCCTCAGACTGGTAGAGCTGGCAAGGTGTTTCCATCTCACTAACTGATGCCACCTCACACACAAAAGATACAGCATCAGAACAGACAGCATCAGAGTTTGCTGTTATGAAAAAGTTCCTATAGCTGAACAACATGTTTTTTACACACCAAGTAATCTTTGTTGACACGGGGCCTATAAGAAGGTCAGAGTGTACGCTCAGGGAGGCCTCTGTGGTTAAGTGTGTGAGGACAACGTGTTTATGTTCTAAACTACAAGAGGATGTGGTGAGCCGCAAGCACCATGAGCAGTGTTCTGACTGAGAGAAGCTGCTGTTCACAAACACCAAAACACATGGTGTTAAGCTGCCTCGGGCTCTGTAAATGGAGACAAAGGGAGGATTGGGATGTTGGTATGCGAGAGGCTGTTATTTTGTATAGAATCATTGTGGTCAAATTACTGTTAACCATGTATTTAAAAACAAATACACAATACAAGTCTAATACAATTTATGCTGTCCATGAGAGACCAGTTTAAAGATGAAACGCCTTACAGATTGAGAAAGCACAAATATTCCAGTAGAGTAAACAGTAGGCTATTGCTTGATGTATGCCAATGATGTGGTCATCTTTGTACACGGGAAAAAGACTGAAATAATCACATCCTGTCTCTCCAATGCATTGGACAAGGCTGAATAACATTTGCTTACAGTTAAATGTGAAAAAACAAACAGTATGCATGATGTTCAGTAAACGACCAGTCAAAATCGAAGGATCCAATGTGTTTTTAAACGGAGCAGAAATAGAACTAGTCTCTACCCAGTTCAAGTATCTTGGAGTCATATTGGACTCGAACTTGAGTATCCAATACCATTAAATTCAACTTGCAAAATGTTAAACAAATTAGGCCTTTCTTTACTGTCAATGCTGCAAAGTCATACCTCCACTGTATGATTCTATCACACATTGAATACTGTTTTACAAACTGGTCGTTTGCTTCTGCCACAAACCTTAAACAGATAGAACAGCAGTACAAGAGAGCTATCAAGGTTTTTGACAGACAGAAAGCCAAATTCATACCACCACTGTACCATCCTTGAAAAGCACAATTTCTTGAGTTTCGACAATTTTAAGTCTTTTAAAAGCATGTGTTTTAAAAAAAAATGTTTACATGGACTGGCCCCCCCTTAGGGGAATTCATCCACAAAAAACACACTGGACGCTGCACTAGGTCAGAAACCAGAGGAGACTGTGAAGTCCACCGTGGACGGACCACTTTTGGACAAAATGTGCAGCTCTTTCTGGAATAGCCTCCCAACTGAAAAAAAAAGAAGGTCTACTCACTTTGGGCTTTCCATAGAGTTTGACCGCAGTCCGGGTTCGCACGTTTTTCACTCCGTTAATGACGACCACAACACACTGGTAGGTTTATAAATTATATTTCGAAATCCAGACTAACTGTAATAAAACCTATCTAGCTAGCTTATTTTTTATAACGCCAATTTCCTGAACCCGAGGACAGCGCTCCGCTAAAACAAATTACGGCCAAAGATACTGTTAGCTTAAAACAACAAACATTAGCTTCACACTGCTAGCTAGCGAAAGTTAGCCAGATAATGCTAGCAGTGTGATGCTGATGTGAGAGGTCGCTTTATTAAAATTCTTACGTAAAATAACATAAGAGTAATAGCAGGAACATTGAAAACATTCGTACATAACACGTGTATCTTTGAGTCACTTAAGTAATGGTACTTTAAATATTACAGCCTTAGTTGCTTTCTGTCACTGCTAGCTAAATTGCAATATTGAAATGTATTAACTTGTTGCACAACTGCGTAGTTAGCTTACTTTCTTAAAGTTATGTACCGCCTCTGAATAACTGCTTTAATTTAAGCAGTGTGACAACCATGGTCATGTACACATGCCTAATACACGTGTTTCAGTGGCACTTGGTATTTCAATATAGAGCTATCCCCACATTGTGGCCTCAACTGACAGCAAAGCTAAATTAAAACCTGCATATCCAGCCATTGACCTCAACATTTTATAATAATTATAAATAACATTACCGATGTTTCTCTTTAATCAAATTATTTTTTTTAACATTCGACCACTAAAACCACAATTTTCTGTTGCCACAAGGGGGAGCTTTTGACCCATAGCTTCTATGTGTTTTACCAACTCGAATACTTATCCTACTGAAAACATGCCACTCTTGTTTGTGTAACCTATGGTTGTAATGATTAATTCCCAACAGATGTCCACTGTTTTCCTCAAATTATACCTTTTCTTTTACTAATACTGCCTCATAATTACTTAAACGATTCCTTCATCTGCCCTGAAACGTTATCTTTCTTCTCTTTTTGTGCACCAAATCATCTATGCCTCCTTTGCATCCATCATCTTTCTCCTCTTTCTCTTCACCCAGGCTCTGGGAGCAAAGACAGACTCTGTTTGGACTGCTGATACTGCTTATCCTCCTCCTCATTGCATACAGTGTTGAAGGAACACACCAGAAGGTGACTAAATAATGAAAAATGTTAGGCTGACATGAATCATACATTCTAGCTTTTTAAAGGAAGGCGATAGTGAAACAAATGTTATGTATGTTGTGGTTACAGTTTCCTACCTTTTCACCACCTTTATAGTGAATTTAATACACACACAGTATAAGGGGCGCCTGTACCTACGAGATTGGAGCGGGTGACTATCGATTGAAGGGTTACCTCCTAATCCCACCAGGAGCGTCTGCGCTGCGTTGCGCTGCGGCTGCGGCGTTTTTAGCGATCGCGACCACTCTAGTCAATGGGTGCTATTCCACCAGACACGCTGCGCCGCGCTGCGCCGCGGCTCGAAGCGTCCCAGAAGCTCCTCGCCGCAAGGAATTTCTAAAATATAGGATGAATCCTATTTTTGACGCGGCGCAGCGCGGCGCAGGCAGGAAGTGGAATGTTCATCCAACAACTGCGAGGCTACACACACGACGCTCCGCTTCCGCAACGTTTTGAAACGCGCCTGGTGGGTTAGGACGCAGGAGGAGGTCGCAGTGCGGCGCAGACGCAGCGCAGACGCTTCCAGTGGGATCAGGGAGTCATGCAGCACTAACGCTTTCATGCAGTCATTTACTATTTCTTAGGTTGTGCATAGTGACAGATTAAGTCAGATTATAATGCACATAATTTTTGATTGTAATATTGGGATTTGTTTCGCAGAATAAACATCATCTCTAGCAACTGTATGCCTGTCTGCACACATCAAGTTAGTTTAATTATTAACTTCTCATAAAGCACAGTGGTAGCTGCTAATCTCTTATGTCCGGGGCAAATTACTGGAGGTGTGACTGTGAACAGACTCTGAACCCTTTCCCTTTTTTCCACTTGTTTGGTTCTTTCCTGACATGTGCTGAAGTATTTTGAAACCCACTGCCATAAAACGTTTTTTTTCACAGTTTTACGCAGATACTCGGAAGTTGCGCAATCACTTCTCAATAATTTCACGTAACAATCGCCCAAGGCTGGCACTGCACTTTCCAGCAAGGGGAGACATGCAGTATGTGGTGTTTTTGTTTTGCTGGGTTTCCTGGGAAATGCAGTCTTCGGTCAGAGCCTCCCACACCCCCCGATCCCCTCCACCCCTCAGTCCCCTCACTTCTTCCCGTAATCTACTCACTCCGTGCTTCCTCCTGAAAATGACCTGCCTACGCTCAAGGGAGGAGGTGTAAACAGAGTGATGGATTGAGTGATAGTTGTGGATCAACAGGAACAAGAGAAACATGGTGATAGACTGAATCTTGGCTTGCCTTACATTATAGTTGAGTAAGAGCTGTCTGCCACCAATAAGAATAATGGTTCTGTTCTTCTGTCAGTGTGCTGAACACTCCTACCCTTCGGCTGTGTCCTCTAAACTCAACAACCTTTGTCTCGAAAGGTCTCTCTCACTCTCTCCCTCTCTTTCTCTACCACTCACTTGCCCTCACCCACCTTTTTAAGTGCCCTCTGTTTTGCACACTTTCACTTTCTTACCTTCTTTCACTCTGTCTCTTCCCTTCTCCTCTCTGTGCCCCCCCTCCTTCTTGTTTTCCTCACTCTGTGCATGTGTCTCTGCCATGTGGTTGACCGTCCCTCTTTCTGGCCTCTGCAGTATGTGCTCTACATGGAGAAGAAGACGCTGTGGTGCGCCTACTGGGTCGGCCTGGGCATCCTCTCCTCGGTTGGTCTTGGCACCGGCCTTCACACCTTCCTTCTCTACCTGGTAAGAACATTTTTTTTCCTGTGACTCCACAACAAGTTGTATGCCACTTTCACAGTGCAGTTGTTCACTTGCCTGTGCATGTTTATGGCAGAGCTGAACACAAACACAGTCGCTGATGGTGTTGGTGCAGTGACGCAGTTCTGAAAGGACTTGTGTGTTGATGCTGTTGTTAGGTTGTTGCTAAGGCTTTAGCAAGAGCATTATTAAAAGCTTTTGGAGGCTCCTTATGCATTTGCACATGCATACGGGAGTTCGTATGGGTTTGTGAGCACATGCTTTTCAAAGTGGGGTGGAGATGAATAGACGCTGTGGTAGCCGCACTGTTTTGACAAGCAGTCTAGGAACAATCGCACTCACTGACCCCTCTGACTGAGTGCACACGGGGATAGGAACACACTCCCTCCCCTTCTCTGGGCTCTTTCTGCTCCCCACTGCGTGGCTCACTCTCACCCTCTCTTACACTCCCTCATGTTACTTGTACTCTTTTTCTATGTCTCTCCTTTGCTTAGAACCCCCTTTTACTCCCCCCTTTCCTCTCTCTTCTGTTGTTACCCCCCAACTCTATCTGCCTCTGAGTGTTTTTGCTCCGTTTCTAGAGAGGGGAGGTGTTGGGTCTCTTGTGATGAACAGATATGGGTCCCAGAACATCTGCTTGCCCTCTCTGTCCATCTGTCATCAGAGAGTCCACTGTCACACTTTTATACCCTCGCCCTGTGGAGCTGAACTGGAAACATTGAAGTGTGTGTCCTCCACACTGCTGTTTTTAAAAGCCAAATTCTGGCGCTCCCAAATGTAATTTGAGAGTTTTTTGTTACTCTCCCTGGCCCAGGTCACTTTCTCAGAAGGATTTGATGTACAATGTCACCCTCTAGTGAGCGAGGGTGCTACTGCAGGTTGTGGTGTCACTGGGTTCATGACAGAACTTGGTGCTCCTTGCTGGAGCTGCTGTTGTGCATATTCTATAGAGTTGCACTGATATCTTTTTTTTAAAGGTCGATACTGGTACAAAATCAGTTATCTTTAGATGTTATCTGTTTATAAATGATGTTCCTATGTAGATATTCAAATGAAGCTGTTTAAAATAATATATATGAATAATCTCACTTAAGCATTATGTGTTTCCCACCATATGTTCCAGTTGTGGGCTGAAATGCCTCCTAACTTCATTTACACCATGAAATTGCTATACAAATGGAAACCCTACAGGCATTAATAGAAGGAACCAGCATTTACAATCCAAAATGATATATAGATATTTATAAATATGTGGTCAGCGATGTTTGTACTTTGCAGATTAATGTCTTTAATTGGCTGATATTAATTCTTTAGAAAAAAAGTGTAGCCCAACATTGGCCTTTTTATCAGCAACCTATGCCGTAGCAGTTATATCAAGTTCCCTGCCTGATGTAGTATCTGATTCCTCTCTTCAAGTCTGAGTTTAAACCACAAACAGGAAACACACATGACCTCAGAGAACTCTTGTTATAATACATCTTGTTTTCTGTAGAAGCTTAAACGATTAAGAGTCATTTTGTAGAGCTGATGGTTCTGACAGATATGTATTATTTTTTGGGTGATTATTTTAAAGATTATCTGTGGAGGGTGTGATGAACGGTGTCAAGTACCAGCAGACATGTAGTTCTATTTGGAGGAAATGGGACAGTTGTTGTAACTGGGTCAAACAATATCAGAACACTCGATACGAGAGCACCACTAACTTACAAGACTAACACTGTTTTTCTTCCTGTCTATAAAACTTAATAATAGGCCTTAAATGAAATCCAGATTTGGACTTTGATTTGATTCCATGTCAACATTTGGAAAGAACACCACCACAGTTTCTCTGTAAACAGTATACAACTGCACCACCAGAGGTATACACAAGCTTAGTGGAGAAGTGCCACAATAAACTTTTATTGCACAGCTTCTTATCCCGTTTACAATTTGGTGAAAAACTTTCATTGTAGTTTCACTTTGGAAATCTCCCTCAAAGTAAAGAGCAAAGCTAAAACAATCAGTCAACAATTACTTGACCTGCACAAAAGTAACGGCAACAGTTAATAGCCACAATTCTCTGGTTCCTCCTTCTGAAATCTCAATAGTACATGGTTATCTTGTTTTTCTGTGATCTGTCTCCCTGGGAAATTGTAATTTGGACATTGTTTAATATTTTCTCACTTTATAGAATAATCAATAGTTGATTAAAAAAATCATTGCTGTATACGGCCCCACCTGATTGTTTCGGTCGCTAAAATGATTAGCTTCATACGATGTTTGTATACACACCAGAGGTGGGGAACCTTTTTCCTCTCAAGGGCCATTTCAATTTTTACAACATCCTCCGAGGGCCGTACAAATGATTGATCTCTGCTTAAAAAAACTAAAATCACAGCTCATTCATTCGGCCTTTCTTTCATTCTGTGCAAAGAAAAAGCAACCTCTTAATCCAGATATCTTACCATGACTCGCACATGCATTCACGTGCACGGTGTGGCATGACCACCCAAACAGAAAGATATTGGACACAAGATGTGTGCAAATGTATTTAGTTTCCTATCCATGTGAACATGATTTAAGTGTGGGGGGGGGGGACCTAACCTCCTCTAGGGGGGTCTGGGGGCATGCTCCCCCGGGAAGATTTTTTTTAAAATGTTGAAGTTAAAAGCATCAATCTGGTGCACTTTGAGAACAACATTAAGAGATCTATGGATACATCTCTCAACACATATGAAACAGAACTGTAAGCAGATTTATTTTTCTTTATGGATATTTTACAAATCACTCCCCTTTCAAACTGTATTCTTGTTTATTAATAACAACTTTTTTTTACTGTCATATAGTATATTTTATACCCGTTTACTTTATTCTCTTATTTTTTTATAATGATCATATAAAGATGTGCCTTTACCTCACTGGTTGGAGAAAAAGCTTCTTATATTCGTTAGCATAGCTAGCTAACCAGATGCTAATAACAACAAAGTTATTGACTGTAATGATCAGAATGACAGATGAACAGATCGCCACTGGGCTTTCAACTAAAGACACAGCCACGCAAAAACTGCAGCATGTGTACGGCTCCTTATGGGTACTGACATTTCTGGAAGTGCCGGAGCGACGTACTGGTGCTCTCCGTCAGAACTGCACCCCTGTCAGACGATAAATGTACCACGTGATGACACGTTAGGCTCGTGTTGTGTTCAAGGACCCTGACCTTGGCCAGGAAAAACAGGCACTCGCTTTGTTTAATTTGTTTGCGGTCTAGATTTCTTTAATTTTTTTCTTTTTTGCGTGTGTTTATAAATTACCTTGAGGGCCGTACCAAATGGTCTCGCGGGCCGTATACGGCCCGGGGGCCGGAGGTTCCCCACCCCTGGTATACACGATAGGGCTGTGCATCTTCACTGGTCTCACGATTCGATTCGATTACGATTATCCTGTCTTCGATTCGATATCCCGATGCATCACAATGCGTTGCATCCTCAATTTTCTATATTACTGCACATGGCTTCTTTTTCATCAATGAATCAGTGTTTCCCCTAGGTTTACTGCTTGGGGCGGGGGTGCTGCCTGAGCAGGGGGGGGGGGGGGGTCATTGGGATATTTTTTAGGGGTCAACAACACTAAACTCGTTTGGTTTATTTAATAAAAGAGCACATGTTCAATGTGAAAAGTGACAGTAGATATAGATTAGTTGCAATTTGGTGCTATATATATATATAAAATAAATAAAAAATAAATAATTTTTTCTTTTTTTTAAAACACCTTGAATTTCGGGGGGGCACGGGGCTCCGTTGGTGGGGCGCAGCGCCCCTCCAAGACAATGGTAGGGGAGGTGGGACCAAGTAATTGTTTTGCAAGTCCGAGTCAAGTCTCAAGTCTTTGCGCTCAAGTCCGAGTCAAGTCTCAAGTCTTTGCGCTCAAGTCCGAGTCAAGTCTCAAGTCTTTGCGCTCAAGTCCGAGTCAAGTCTCAAGTCAGGATGGGCAAGTTCAAGTCAAGTCCAAGTCCTAAACTTTGACAAAACGAGTCTTAAACAAGTCATTATGTGCTTTTCACCAAATGTAATGACATCGATCAACAGAATAATACTTAATAATCAAACTGCTCTTTATTAGTCACATTAATAATTTAATAATCAATTTTCTCTCTGCTGGTAAAGTAACGTGTTTTCTTCTATTTGAAGAGGGATCAGTAAGGTAAGGCTACCGTGACGGTTTGATTCAGAAGGAGTTTAATGTATAAGGTCCCAGATGTTAAGGTGACCAAAATGTTTATTTCCACTGTGTACAACATGTTATAAGGGACCCACAATCTATCTTTATGCAAGGGATAATGTGCAGCGAGGCGGGCTCTATGGGGAAAAGAACACCTGCATCTAGATCCCTCTGCAGGTGGTACTTTAAGTATATTTTGATGCTAATACTTTTCTACTTTTACTTGTAACATTTTGAATGCAGGACTTTTTATTGTGCAGGGTTCCTGCAGGTTTCGCTAACTCAAATTTAAGACCTTTTAACACCTTTTTAAGACCACTTTGAATAGAATTTAAGACCTATTTCACGACAATAAAGTATGAAGGAAAATTGATATGAAAGAAGAAATACGTCCCATAATCACTTACAAAGTAAATGTATTCATGTTCAACATAAGAATAATGACTGAACATAACAGCAATAACAGTACAGAACTGTGTGTGTGTGTGTGTGTGTGTGTGTGTGTGTGTGTGTGTGTGTGTGTGTGTATTTTAATCGCAATTACGATTTTGGCCTGCCACAATTACGAAAAACAACATAATCTAAAAAAACGATTATTTTGCTTTGCTAGGTTGTGACAGTGCACTACAACATATTTGATCTAATTCATTTTTTAGTAATGTATCTTTTAATTAATTAATTTTTTTATTGGTTTTTCAGTTGAATTATACGTTCAGGGTAATCGTTGCTGTTGTATGATTGGTGTTTAGCTACGGTATTTAGCGTCTACAGCATCTCCGCTTTTAGGG